AATAACTCATCAATTATCTCATCGCGTAATTTAAACAGTACAAAAGTATTGCATCGCTAAAAAAGAAAGGGTTAAAAAAAACCTTTTTACGAGCTTTGGAAAAAAAAAATTCGTTTGCCAAGTACAGCAAATACTGTACTACTTGGTCGTGCATCTTTCTTCGGAGAGATTTGAAAAAAAAAAAAAAAAAAAAATCCTTCATTCGTCACTGACGTCAAGAATACTTTCAACAACATGATGCATCAATATTATGCTAAAAAACATGAATTATTGAGAGGGGGGGGGGGAAATAAATTGCCCGGTATCGTAAGTACACCTATGATATACTAAACACATGATAACAAGAAAGAAAAATCAGGCACTTCCACGAGACTGGTATAACGTAAATTGTTTCACAATGAATGATGACAACGAATTCTTATCTAATCAAACTGCGCAAACGTCAGTCATCCGAGAGCAGTGCGAAATTCAAGATATTTTTTTACATCAACCAATGATCCGATGCTTTTAGCGTCAATGCGGTGTATATGGATCGTGTGTGCCAACTTGCGTGCACAATGTGGCGTAATAATAATTTTTTCTCTCTTCATTTTAGCGATCGTGCGATGATATACGCACTAGTAAAGTTAATTCTGCATCGAGCAAAGCTAAAATTTAAAATGAAAATAATAATACCGGCGTTTCATCGGAAAATTACCCATTAGCAAATATATGAATCACAAGTATTAATGCAATGGATTTTACGCTGATGAAGGATAAATGTCCCCACCTTGGTAAGTAATCACAGTCGTGATGAAACTGAAAAATCAATCGTATAAAAAAAAATTGATGCATTAACGAATTCGATGCAGTAGGTATAATTAAGGAAAGATGAAGAGTAAATGCGTTCCGCAAACGTAATCAAATCTGCGGTCATAAGATATCGAAATCGATTAGTATTTTATCCTCGAAAATTTCATTGCTTCTAAAATATCAAGTGCGGTACGCTTTCGCATTTCAAAACTAGGTGAGTTTGATTGCTTTTTACACAATAAAAATGTTTAGATACGTATTTTCACTGTAATGTAAGGAAACTGAGGTTATCAAAAAAATTATTCAATGTAAATAATACATTTATGAAAGATAAGTCTGTTATCTTGAGTGTGTTTTAATAGTTTACGTGGGGCACCCCTGATAAAGATACATGCGTGCTCAAAGTGAGAATGCAATCGTATATGTTTTTGTTGTTATACGCGTAATGATGCCGGTAAACCAAATAAAATAAAAATAAATTTTTTAAGAAATATTTGACAAAGCCATTCACGTACCATCCAACTCATCATCATGTATCATTTAAAAAACAGTAATTGGACGATAAAAATAACAAACATTTATACTTATTGTTTGATTTTAATTTCAACGATTTTGAATGTAATTGCTTCTTTTTTAATTTTTCACAATCGTCAATGAACATTATTCCCAATCAAAACGGTTTTCGATAAATATACAGGCTTTTTTTTATGACTGGAGGTTTTTTCCATCATGTCGTAAAGATTAGTATTTCCAAATGCACAAACATGAGCTTATGCATGAAAAATTTTCAACCTCAAATAAATATCGACTAAATTTGACATAAACACTAAAAAAACACAAGTTTTGTGCTTAAAGCACGTAGGGGGGGGGAGGAGGGGAGAGGAGATTTTTTTATGAATTTTTAGTGTATTGGCAAATAATTGATTACATGAAGCATATGTGAAACATCGAATGCTGCAGAAAACAAACGAATCAATAAAAAAATGCGCGCACGCGTGTGGAGTACTTACTTATTTTTACTAAGTAAGACGTTCCATGTAACATCTCGCATTGCTCCTTTTCCGAATACTCTTATCGATCCGACCTTTGGGCACGTGTATGTATATGTATATGTATGCACAAAAGGTTGCCGCGTAGGTGTAATTTGTGTATACAATATGAGAGCAGTATAATTATAATATACAAATACTTGGTTGCTTGCTGCTCTGCATGTTTGCTTATCATTATGTTACTACATATTTTTCTTGATTCTTGCTGTAGCTGATGAATATATACCTTTCAATTGTTCTCTAAAAGTACCGACAAAATCAAGTTATGTGATATACCTGACATGTTAGAGGTGCTTAGAGATCGATTGTACCTACGACTCGAGTCTTTATTGGCGTTCTCGTGAATTGAATTGAAATTCAACAAGCAGTCATTTTACTTGGCGACACTTTGACGCTCTCTTATATTATATTTATTAACAAGACCATACATGTTTTGAGAGAGAATTAATAATTGGCATCTCTGGCATCTCTGAAAATCGTAGGTATTCGATCACCTTGGAAAATACGAAGAATCGTGAAAGCTGTTAAGTTTGCGCACGCTTATGCTGCAGATACGGTATTAGAGAGCGACGAGAGACGAGGGTCAAAAATATCATAGGCATATTATATTTAAAGGTCACGCAGATGTGTGCATACTATGTATATAGCATATGTAGAGAGAGGACTGCAAAACTTGGCTGGGAGCCATAAAAGAAGGAAAAAGAAATAAGCGGACAGACGTTGGTTTCCGCTTGCCCCGATCGCTCGTAAAAATTTCTAGAGATCACAAAAGTAAGTATTTCGGAAACAGCACAACAACGCTGTAGTTTCTCTTCCTGCGTATACTTACGCCGACATAGGCTACGTGTTATGTCGCTCAAATATTTGAATACCTATACCTACTTCTTTACTTTAATCCCTTGTTTTTTCTTCCACCCACAATTTCAACAGCTTGTGCAAGAAAAAACGACGATACGCGCTGATTTAACCATTACTTGAAATTATGATGCTATTGATTTTATTTATTTATTATTATTTTTTTTTTTTTTTTCAACATCAGGAGCTTTGTTACAAGCTCGAGGAAAACGGAATAGGTTTTTTTTTTTTTAGGTTTATTGATCAAAAGTCTAGTATATGCGCGAGTTATGTAAACGTTTTGTATGGATTTAAACTATATTTGAAAAATTATCATTGTGAAATAGAAGGCCGACGTAAACGAGTTTTTGTTTCCTTCCTGAAACTAGTTGAGAAAGTAATACAAGATAAGTTTATTGTTTTGGGATAACGTAAGAGTTGTGCAGCTTTGATAAGTTTTCGATGTTGCTGGGAAAAATGGTAGCAAAAATTTAAGAGGCTCATAACTCGAGAAAACAGAGTGAAAACAATTTGCATAAATTGAAAAAACGAGAAAAGATGCTCTGTCAATTTTGATGAGTCCGATATTCCGAGGCATTAAAAAGCAAACAGATTAATTTGTCGAGTCTGATGATAGTTTAACGATAAAATTACACGAGAGGAAAAACATTGGACGCAGCATTCCAGTATTCAGAGTTTTTAAGCTCTCAGCCATGTATTCAAGTATATTTATTATGTAGTAACCAGCACCTGTTATACCGTCGGCATTTCAACTATATTACGAGAACGTAAATTTTGCCATCTGCATATATAATTATATAATTACGTGAACCATTATTTACACGTACACGTGTAGAATTGAAGTGCCAAAGAAAAACAATATATTATGTATTGTCGCTGCTGATAAACTCGTAGTCGTCTTTTGTTGTATAGGTAAATGCCTTATAATCACGAAAAGTGTAAGTTGATTAATTCGAGCACGTGCATGGCTCGAGTCGCGATAAAAGTCTATAGCCGCGATTATTGATTGTTGACGAGTAAGTAGGTACCTCACTTTACTTCTCTCTACTTAAGTACACCACTTTGGCAGACGATGAGAAAATTAAAATGATTGAATTTGATCCGCGCAATCAAGATTACGTGGTGTCGCTTGTTTTCCCTCTCTTTTTACGTCTGGCTCACCTCTAGACATTAAATGTTTAATCATTGTAGTATAGATGTATGAATTCAAACAAGCTGTGCCTTATCGGCTGTTTCAATCTTCTTGGGGTATTTCACGCGCTCCATCTGGCTTTCTTTTGTGATTATTTGCATCGCGTTGTAGGCATAATACACGTGATTTCCGGATGGCAGTAGAGAGCGTTGCTGCATGGGTGTCTACCCCTTGTGAAAACTTTTTTTTTTTTTTTTTTTTTTTTTTTTTTTTTTCATTGCTTTTAGTAATCTGAATGATTATTTTCATTAATAAACTCTCCAACTAAAATTCATGTGGTCAATTTTGGTAGTGGACGGATTATTTTACTTTCAGCGCTGTACTGACATCATAGTTTCACGAAAACACGCTGTACAACGGCTTTCAACAATTGACAGAGCATGAAAAGTTATCTAATGTTTATCTATTATAACGAGTCAGATGCTCCTTGTAACCCTTTTTTTTTAATCATCCGGTAATCAACATAAAAACTCGTAAAAATTGGTATTTTCCGAATCAACAATCAGGAGTAGTAGTCTGTAACTTTTTTTTTAGCTTTGCAGAATCTATGTTAAATATACAAAAGGTGATGTACCTACTTATACATATACATAAAAGAAGGTAAGTACAATTTTGGTGTTTCACACTCAGTGGAAAATTCCGTCCGTCGATAAGCACTTATATTCCGTACACGCATGATTGTGCTATACTGCGCAGGGTTACACCCGTAGCACATTCGGGTTATTGGCAGGGGTGTGTTTATTGTAAGTGGCCCAGAAATAGAAACAAAATAATTTTTTCTTAATATCAAGTAGACGACTAATGGGTGTATAACTATTATCAAGTAATTTATCATCACACACCAGGGCATCACATGACAAATGACGATGCGGCATTGCATTAAATGTGGTTGTACAATACGAGCGGTGTTTTTACACCATCAATGTTAACATACTTATTTATCAAATAGAGGAATATAATCATTATTGTCAGGTAAAACGGGAGGGTCAGCCGGTAAGCTGTATAACATAATTATATGGGTGTAATCTAATAAAACCATTGCGAAAATGATTTTTTGTAAACTACGAAATGGAGGGGGCGAATCATGATAATAGGGATACTATTGTAAATACCTCTGATACCCAGATGAACTTTACTGCAGCTTAACGTGGCTCGCACTGGTGATGTGTTTTAATACGTGTCTCGACGTTCACATTCGTCGTGCAGGTGTCGTTGAGGGGAGCAAGAAGAAGATGGGCTCGAGTCGTTAACGAGGATGCAGTTATAATAATCTGTCCTTCCCTGTCTCTCGCCTCCGGGAGTACTACCCGCGTGGACGATGAGAAGATGGGACAGCAGCAACTGCAGTAGCACAGCTCGTACAAACAAAGCTTATTGATGCGTCAAAGAGAGTCAGGAAAAGAATGAAAAGACACGAGCTCGTGTCGGGGTTGAGTCAAGACAAGAAATAACCTGCAATGCTGCCTGCAGACAGTGCAGACGCCGACTTGCAGAGACTGTATACCGTGTATTCCAGTAGCGCTCTCCGACAACTTACCGACAACTTAAACATGACGCAAGATATCGTAAGACATAATTAAGTTATCGGTAAGTTGTCGGAGAGCGTTACTGGAACACACCCGCAGCCAGAGAGAAGGACCTCAGAGTACAGTGTGTGTGTGTGTGTGTGTGTGGTGATGGTTACCAAGGCGAATTGTTTTGAGAGAAGTGCAAGTGCATAAGCATAAGCCTTCATTGGAATGACCATAGGCTATTACAATTAATTTCATGTATTTTGTGAAAATTTATAACAATTTATTGAAAAATATTTTTCTTTCATAATATAACATGTGATTTTATTATATTTACATTTTATGAAACTTTTACCGTTGAGAATCTTATGTTCGTCCACACACATAGTTACACATGCCCAAGAAAACGTGCATCAAGTTATTTCACAATTATCACTCAGAACTATGCTTTCTCATGACACGCTTAAATTTAAACCAAAAATATTTCTTGATCTCAAAGAAATAGATACGATAAAAACTATCACACTGTGATAAGTACATACATACTATTTATACAGATGTACAGCTTAATACTAGTGAACTACATTAGTTTTTTACCACTTTCGTCAACGACAATAGTTGGTGGACTGTCAGACAATTGCACTGGCCTTCTGCGACGCTTAAACACAATAACATTCTTAGCATTTTTTGGCAATCGATTCAACACTGGCTTTTTTTTATTTGAGGTAATTTTTGAAGTTTCTGCTTCGGACACTTCTGAATCAATGAACGGTTTTAATGGTAATTTCCTTGAAATATTTTTTTCAATGGTGGAATCAATGCCATTTTCCTGATTACAAACAGATTCTACAAATTCTTCTTTTGTATTAGAAATATCAACTTTAAAATTAGTTTGATTTATTTCCAATTCTAGATCTTTCTTACTCATCAGTACTTGATTTGAATTCTTATCTTTCATGTTACTGCGGTCATTTTTCATTTTGGTTCGTTTAACCAGCAATATAATATCATTCGAGGTTTGACTTATATTTTCCACACTCGTATCATTAATTTTACAGCCGTTTCGATCATCTTCCAGTTGCGTGATTTTCTTTTTTACAGGTGTTTTGATCAAAATTTTTCGTTTCGTATTACTAGCATCAGCTTTTAGTTCAACTTGGTTTTGTTGTAATATTTTTACTTTTTTAGAAACTTTTTCTTTTGTTTTAGGGCCAATATTGGCCAGTTCAATTTGCTTTGTTTTTAATTCTATGTTTTTCCCTATCTTTGATATTTCCATTACAATTTTTTCATTTGTTTTTGTGTAATTATCTTCAATTTTCGTACGCTTTTCTGGTGATTCCGAATTCTGCTTCATGTCTTCTAGAGTTTTTGGCACTATGTTATTTTCTTCGATTTCATCAATTTCAAGTTTTTTTTGTTGTTCTTTACAGCCTGTATATTTTTCTTTTTGGAGAACCTTCTTCACAACTTTTTTAATAACTTTTTTGTTTTTTAAATTTTCAAGATTAGTAGGATCTGGTAGTGATTCTGTATCTTTTCTATTTTCAAAACCTTTTTCTTCAACTGCAATACTACAAGGATCTATAAACTCAATTGGATTTATTTCTAAATCTCTCTTGAGGTTTGAGTTTTTTTCTACATTTTTTTTGTTGTCTTTGGCATGGTCATCTTTAATTTTAGAACAGTTTTCTAGTGATTCTTGATATTCCTTATGTTTTAAAGTTTTTTCCACAAATTGTTCTTTTTCTTTATCTTCATTTACCTTAGATTTGATTCGTTCCACTTTTGCTCCCGTACCTTTAACTTTCTTGGATACCTTTTTTACACATTTTTCCATGTTTATTTTACCATCAGCTTCAATTTTGACTGGTAGGAGTAACATTTCTTTGTCATTTCCTTTTTCAGAAGAAATCTTTGTAAGACTTTGTTTTACTGCACAGTTATTGTCTACGGATTCCGATTGTTTTGATTCTGTAGTTTTTCCTTGTTTTAAATCTTTCTTGATAATTTTTTTCTTCACAACTACAACACAATCATCTTTAGTATCAACATATTTTTTTGGAGACTTTTGATCATGCTTTATGTTTACCACTTTTTTCACTTTTTTATTTTTTACAATAGTGTCCACTTTTACAGGCTTTGAATAAATTATTTCTAACTTTCCATCTTTTGTCTTTTTGATAGTTTGTTCTTTGCTTTGTTTTTCTTTTGCCTTCCCATAGAAAACTTGGAGTTTAAGGTGTTTTGATGATAGTTTAGTATCTTTTTTATTATCATCAACCAAATGTACTAACTTTGGACATGCTTTTTCATTTTCTAATTTCAAGCTTTCAGTTATGCCACATGGAGATGTACTTTTTAAAATATTTTCTGGATTGATTTGCAGAATATTATCCCGTCTGCTGATGATTTCTTCTTCAATGGCGGTTTTGAGATTTTTACAATGATAATGATTAAATTCACAAGATGAAGCATTGTTTTCTATTTTTGATGGTAAAGCACCTTTTTCACTATCAAGATCAGCTTTCTCACTCGACAAACTATTTTTAATATTTTTTGTGTGTTTTGCCAAATGTACATCAACTTCCACGTTATTGCCAATGTTTTGATGAAGATTAACATTGGATTGATTGGATAAATTGTTTATTTCACTGTTAGAACGTACAGATTCCAGTACATCGTTTATAATTTTTTCACTTTTTTTCACGCATTTTGGATATGGGAAAATCTGTTGATCAACATTCTTTGTATTATCTTGAATTTTTACTACATTGTCTATGGTGTTTTTTAAATTATTTTTGGATGTTTTCTTGCAAATAACATCATGCTTTTCGAGAGCAATGTCATTTTTAACAATGTTGCCAGTAATAATACTTTCTATAGATTTTATACTACTAATTTTGTAGTTTACGTTTATATTATCTGCAGACTCGGGCTGTGGTAAAGAATCTAAAGAATCATCTATTTCTCCTTCTTCCAGTTCATCACTATTTTGATTAATAAGAACTTCCGTTATCTTTTTTATGTCTTTTTCTTTTTGGTCCGTTAAATTTATGTTATTTGTTACTTCATTAACTGTATCACTTGACTTTTGTTCTTTTTTTTGAAACTTATTGTCATTAGGTTCTAATCTGTTTGCATTGTCTTTGCTGCTTGCACAATCTGTACTATCTTTAAATACACCATTCTCAAGTGTTTTTTGCCTTTTTTCAGGAAGAATTTTCAATTCTTCTTTTAATTCTAATATATCATCGACAACGTCAACAGTATTTCTTTTTCTTTTTTTGTTTTGCTCTATCGTCTTGTCTTCAGCAATTGATTGGTGCTTTACCTTCGGAATTTTATATTTTTCTGAGTTTTTGACAAGATTATTTTGCTTTTCCAAACTGTCATATTCTTGAGCTTTGCTGTGAGGCTTGAATTCGTGAGGTGAAAGAGATTTCTTCAGTAGCTCGTGATTTCTCGTCAAATTTTCTCTGCACCCATCAAAAGTTCTACTTTCTTTTTTATAGTTATAACTGTGTGATTTTTGATCGTAATAGTTTTCTTTATTTCGGTCTGAACTGTTACTTCTTTCTTTACTAGGCAATCTACCGTGTGTCAAGCCTAATGTGACTTTGTCGCAGCTGATACTCCTTTCTTTGTATTGTGTTCCTTGACAGCGTAAGCTTCTATTTCTACCTGTACTGTTACTCCTGTCTCTGTGCCGTGACCTATGATGGCGGGATCGTTCTTTTGTTCTATAAGGACTCTTACTTTTTTCTCTATTTCGTGGCCTATGGTGATCAAAATTTTTTGAATATCGAGATTTCTCATACTGAGAATTTTTGAATTTGTCGTATTTACTATTTTGTTCTGAATTATAATGGTGGTATTGACGGTGGCTAGCATGATAATCTCGTCGTCGGTAAGAGTCTCGGTGGGCTCTTGACTCATGATACTCGACTTTTTTGTCTAAAGTTTTGTTACTACAAAAATCGTTGTTCTTAATTTCGATATTTTTAAGATTGCTGGAAACTTCTCTTTCGACATTTTCTATAACATTGTTGACATTGCCAACAAAATCAGTTTTTGTATTTAACTTCACTTCCTTCTTTATACTTCTTTTCGTTTCAGCTTTCTCTCCTTTGATTTGCCTTTCTTCTTTGTCATCATTTCTTGCTTCCTGCTTTGTGCTGTGATTTTCTTGTATTTTTTGTTTATTCATTTCTGTTGCCCCTTCATTCTTCACACTTTCAATTTCTTGTTTATCAAAATTCTTTGTTTTAATGTTAGCTTCATATTTTGTCTTAATACTTTCTGCCTCTTCTTTTTTTTTTCTGTCATTCTTTGCTTCTTCAGCAAGTTTTTTACGCAGCCGTTCACCATAAACAGTACTTCTATAACTAGATTTATTTATGTATTCGCCATCTGACTCATCATCACTATTACACAATTCCTTTTTCGGTTTTATGTCAGTGGTTGAAGCACGAAAATTGTTATTACTCAGCAAATCAATCGATGGTTGTTGCAGTAATACATTTTTTTTATCTAATTGGTGATGGTTTGGATAATCTGGTGGTAGATGCTGATTTTCTGTATCAAATGATTTTTGATAGCTTTGTGAATTTGTCACATCTGGTGTAAATCGATTATGATATGAATATTTTGGATTTTCATGATTACGATGGTTTCTTCTAAATGTTAAGTTATTAACCCTGGAAATTAATTTACCATAAAACAAATTTCTCAAAAACAAAAAAAAAATACGCAACTGAATTTCATACTTTTCCCTTAAATCAGATATAGTACGATCTTTTCTGCCAATTTCTTCTCTAGCTGTTTTCATCAACGATGATAAATTTTTTTCCAACTGGAATTTCTCACTTTCAAGGTTTTTGACCGTTTCCAGCAGATTGAAAATTCTTCCCTCCAACTCTGCCCTTTTTTCGGCAGCCTATAAAAAAGTACAAGGAAATCATATGGATGGATAAAATATTATTAATTAAAACCTTTGAAGTACTTAACCTATGGAGTCACTCACTTTTGTTTCATCAGCTGCTGTATCCTCTATGCGTATATTTGGAAGGTCAGAATAAATATCAAAGTCTTCCATTGTATGAAGAATGATACTTATTAAGCAACATCATTATTGGCTAAAAAACAGTTACAATTAGTAATTTACTTACTCGTCCATACTTAAGACAGTTAAGACTATGATGGATCAACATTTTTAGCACATGACACATGAATACCACACATAAACACGACAGCAGAAAAATGTATACAAGTTTATGTACCTTTACACATTTCAATATAGCAGCAAGGCAAATGTATAGTACACTTGTAAGTATACAGTAAATTAGTTAGTTATACCTTGAGCTTTAGCTAATTGGGTATTCTGCGATTTCCGCTATATTTTCGCGCCAGAAACTTTTGTCATGTGTGTCATATACTTTGCGAGTTTGGCTCAACTGTACAGACTACAGAGTACAGAGTAGTACATCTATACTAATACCTAATACTTAAGTAAGTACACAACCAACAACCAACAACAACAACACGAGACACATTTACCTACACTTATGAATATATTCACTTACACAACGTTTTCATGAATACCGCCAAAAATATCCAAGTACATGTAGATGCATACAACTTAGTTATGAATTTTTGTCACTTATATCACCTGATTAATAACTTTATGAATGAAAAAATATTGAAATATGTTATGGTATACATAATAAAAATTATATGTTGAGGAATCGTGAAAAAACTGTTGAAGCATAAGTCGATAAGTAAGAAATTTTTTTTGAATAGTGTGTCATATGAAAACATTATTTTTTATCGGCTGGTTATCCAACAAGTATATTTTTTTTACAACTGATTTCACACAAATAATTGCAAAATTGTTAACAATATGGAACATGAGTTTGGCTATAATATTTCAAAGTAGAGAAATGCATATATCGACAACTTGAGAACAAAGCGTTGCCAGGAGGTAGTATGAAGAAACGGCGAATTTCATAAATTAGAATTTCGTAGAAACTTACTTGGTCGGAGAGAAAAGCAGTTATTTCTTTTATCAGCCCACCTCTGCAGTAAACAACAGAAAATGATGGCCGCAATTGCTCACCGGAGTGGCTTAGAACTATTATTGTTGTTCTTCCAAGAAACCCATCCACACATGAAAAAAAAAGACTTGTCTGTCAATGGTGTGTAGGTACAACGTACACTGGTACACAGACTAATTTTGTATTTCGCCATTCTTTTTACCATGCTGGCAAAAAAGCAGTTTCCTTTTTTCAATTACGGGATTGAAATAAAAATTTTTTCCATGCTTAAATTTTTTTTTTTTTATATTTAAAATTGGGTCTCTTTTTTGAAGGGTGAAAATTAAAAGTATCTCGCCCAGCAGAGGATTCGTATTCGTGTAACAGCACTTATCTCCATGAACTTCGCAAGCACAAAAAAAACAAAACAACATAAAAAAACCGATAAATTAAAATTTTAAACGGGATTGAGATAGTAAGTATATTATAAAGTAGGTATAAATAGTAGAGGGGAATAATCTACATCAATCAAACCTTGTGTGTGTCCAATCCAGGAGTATCCATGATATAATATAATATATACATGTCTCCTGTGAATGATCGGTTGTTCTTACTTAGCTACTTTCATTTTGTAGTTTTGTACAGCGTGTCGCGCTTTACGCAACAAAAATGCAACAAATAACGCGATAGGTACTCAGTACCTGATACTGTCGTGTACTAGTAGTTATAGAACTGTATAGGTATTATTTTGTTGAACAGTAGGTAGTAGTAGTAGGAGTAGTAGTAGGTGTAGGTACAAAATATCGTGAGAGCGCGAGAGTGGTAAAAAAAAAGAGATACACTCTTAACAGCATACCTATAGGTATACAATAGAACAAGATCATAGTAAGTACCTAATGTAGTGTGTGTGTGTGTGTGTGACTGTGGCGCATATAGCGACAGCCGTGTGTAGTATACGTGCTGGGGCGCTCCGATCGGCCTCCGCGGGCTCCGCGTACCTCTGCGCTCCGGCGGTCGCCGCGGTCGGTCTTCAGTGTTGCTGACGCGTATCCGTGTGCTGGTCACGTTATTATCGCTATCGTCTATATAGCAACGATTCTGCATCAGAGCTGCAGTTACGAGAAAAGGAGTCGCGGGTGCGCCGTTTGAGTGATTTTAAACCTATACGCTCTGTACAGTGGTATACATTTTTAAAGCGCGAGTGTTGTTCTTACGTGTATCTGAAAAATCACATCAACGATTCAATAATTGTATACAACAGTATTTTTGTGTGTATCTATACTTGGTATAGTCGCAAAATAGCTGACATACCTGCAGGCTGCAGGAGGCAGGTGAAAGCGTCGAGCAGGCATTCGATGGTTCGCTCCGTTTTTGTCGTTGTGGTGTGCGCGTCATCTCGCATCGCTCTTTCATTATTTCGTCGTCATTGCAATTAAATTATTACCATGTGCATACAACATATTCAATACACGACAATTGATCTACATAAGTATATTTGTAGCAGCAATTAAAAATTACGGCAAATACCATTCTACAATTGAGTATAAAAGCATCAACAGCTAGTGTGTGCGAGAGCAGAGCGGTGAAGTTTGTGTGTGTGTGTGTGTACTTTTAGTTCTTTAGTATAGTGCAGTATAGCCGTTTTGCTCGGGTAGGTATATAATAAAAGTACATTCAATTCCCCTCATACATGTATACCTACCTACCTTACGCGAGAGAACACACAAACGGAGTGATGCGGGACTTCTGAATGCTGCTGCCGATGCTGATGGTTGATGGCTCGGCTTTATACTTATAAGTATCCTGCCTGCCTTGGGGATATACCTGAAATCTGGATACATACTACCTATACTCTGGTGCACCGTTGCTACTGTGTAGTACCTATGCTTGTAAGTAATAAGTAGGTATACCTTATACACTATTTTGCCGTGTAGTGCGCGAATTGGTTCCAGGCCGATGCCGATCTCCAGTATATTGAGCAATCAGCCGTAGTTAAGTTTATTTTTCCTGCATATACTTACCTACGGTTAATCAATTGTTAATGCACCGGGTGTGACTAGTAACTATAGTTACCAGGCTGTATGTAAGTATGTACCTACTTGAATTTGTATACTTATCACTTAAAAGTGCAGTGAAATTTGTTAAATTATAAGCATCGGTGAGTGCTGCTGCCTACCGGTCTCTAACTTTACCGTAACCGTGTGTGCAGCATATAGGTATAGGTACATACGTACAACCGTGACACTGCAACACTTTAATATTTTTGCATTTCGCACCACTCGCGCTCCAGTTGTGTTTTGTGCGTGATACTTGATACGTAGTATGAGTGGAATGAGCATTGCATAGATTGGTGTTGTTATTGTTTGTGGAGTTAATCTGTGTAACTACTACAACGAAAACGACGACGGCCGGCAATTACGACGATCTCGGGAGGAAAGTTGGCGCCGCAGGAAGTACAGTGAAAGAGGCTGTTGCTGCTGGTGCTGCGGGCTGGCTCACTCGCCAGTCCAGCATCGCGGCATCGAAGATAATAAGCCGAGAGGCCCAACGACGGCTGCTACTCCTCACAGGAGCTAGCTAGCAAAGAAGGTACGTACTCACTGCGCATACCTTATCCATTTTATCATTGTTATTAAGTATTAGCATCATCATCATCATAATTGTTCGTACAATCACTTTATACAATTTACCACCTACTGAGCGTGAGTGTATAGGTACATTTATACACCCTAATATTTACACACTTGTACACACAGAACAAGAGAAGGAAACGCGTGTGGTGATGGTTGCTGATGGTTAGTTACCGCGCACCTTTTTCTTACTCTCCTACATGCTAGTTCTCTCTGCTCTCTTTCTCTTTTTTTTCTTCCCTCGTCTCTTTCTTTCTGGAAGACCTGTTGATGGTCCGCGTGCCAAAGGAGGATGAGAGCAACTCGACGCTCGCCACACAGCCTCTGTCTCTTAATACATACACCTATATATGTATAACCTTGTTCGCATACCTATAAACTTACGTGTTTCGCTTTTATATGCTATAAGAGGTTACCTTGGAATAAGTTTAGTATCCCCTATACCTTATACTTAGGTGTAAGTGTACAATTCATAGGGTACCTACCTACCTACCCGTGTTCTATTCGATTTTATTAATTTATGTACATGATATACTTATTATTAGTGTGCCTCATAAAAGCAAGTATATAATACTGACACTTTTGTGTTTATGCGCGTATAATATATGTAGTTGGGCCGCACACACCCACATATGATACCTACATCCACCGGCTCTTTTTTTTTTGGAGCAGCGTATATACACGTATGACGTGAACAGAGCATTCTCCCGGTGCCATAAGTATTTTGTGTCCAAAATAAACTTTGGAAGTAATTTTTTTTTAATTCTGGGAAGGGGGTGGATACAAAATTATTCCCAAAAGTTTTCGAGCTGATTGTATATCTTCAAGCAACTCCAGTAAAAAACGTTGTCTCCGATAATTTTATAATTATATTAGACAATTGATAAGTATTGGTGGCGCAATATTACCTGTTTGTGCGCAACGCACACTGAATAAAAACTCATACAAGCTAAAAGCTGTAACTATACATGTTTCACATTCCACATGGTTGATCAATCTATTTTATATGCAATTTTTTTTTGTCGAACAATTTGAATCATCTGTTATCATTGATGCTTTTCAAATGCCTACTTTTATTGAAAATGATCACACTATTCACGTTGCACCACTATAGAGCTGTACAATGAAAAGTTTTCCAATGTAGCCTACTTGTGGTGTACTAGTCTTCCAAAATCTCTACTTTTAATAGGGGAGAGAGGGAACTAGCATTTGCAATCGTTCGCATAGTAAAATTGAGTGGTCCATTCTACCCTAGAAGCTCAACCTGTCCGAGTTAGTGATTTTTTGATTGATGATGAGCATTTGTTTTAAGTGAACTCACCTCGTTGTTGGGTATAATAGTTATGTCGGTACGATAACTATTGCGACTCTACTCGACTGTTATTCTTTCATTCTGTTCTCGTATCTTAGGTGCCTGTCTGCATGGTGGTTTTATGTATTAGTACAAATTTAAAATGTTGATTTTTCTTTATTGCTGTTTGAACGAGGCCTTGGCTCGGATAAGTATGAGTATGTATACATATAGAGAGAGAGAGAGAGAGAGATACATACTCTACGTAACGTGCTTGTCAGCTCTCTGATCGCAGAAAAGAAGGGCACGAAAGAGATAGATATCCACACGCCTGCAGCTTGCTAATCTCGGCTAATCTTATCGATGTTGGAGCTCAACCTTTATCTGTTTTACTTTACTTTTCATACTTTTTCACTGACTTCATATTTTCTCAATGTTACATCGTACTATTATCAACGTAATGAAAATATTTGTTACAAGTATTTATTATTATTATTATTATTATTATTATTATTATTATTATTCAAACGGAATACAAATTAAAAATCAAAGGTTGACTAAACTATTATTATGAAGAAGAAGCCATGTTGTATAGCAAATCATCAAATCGTGATTTATAAGAAAAAAAAAACCACCACTTTTGCAAGGCTTGTGATGTTATTCAATTAAACTATTAATAGTTCGACTCTTATCCTTTTCGTGATTATTGTTATTATTATAAAGTGTAAAAAAAATTATGTTTATAAAGTATGAACCAACGAAAGCATTGTCAACACAATACTGTAGATGTGACAATCAACTTTATCGTACTGTCTGATACTTGATATTTTCCACTGAAGAAGCTAACTCATTAATTGACGTATAAAAAAAATTTGATATCCCGCTTGACATAATTTTTTCTTGCATTAACTTGGTGTGATTCATTTCTCTCTCGCTCTCTCATAAGACTAATGATCTTGTAAAGTACTGTACATACTCTACTTACGAGTAAACTCTCCTTTTTATGCATAATACTTACCACCACCAACGAGAACAACAGCAGTAAGTAGCATAAAGTCGTAAGTATGGTTTTTGGTTTTCTGAATAAATAAGTTTTGTAGAATGACTCGTATCTCCTCGTTGTCTTCGTACATTACTCCCTATATATCATGTCAATGACGGCGTAATGAGCGGTACCTCGGACACGTTGGCACTTGGTTGTAGGTGCTGCTGCAAAGCAGTGAGATATCTTTACACATAGCAAAAAAAAATAAAAACGCCAGTCGACGACTGATGGGACAAGCAAGACAGACGATGATCATAATTATGTAGTAACTCACTCACGCATGCATGCACGAGTGGAGAAAAGAGTACAAAATATAAATAAATATATGTTGTTATACGTATGAAGTGGCAGAAAAGTGGCATAGTCAGGCCCCCTTACACTGCAGGTCTGTATGTATCTATATAGGTACAGGTACCGTTTCGGCCGAGGTTTCGGCCATTTTCACCATCACTTTTTATCCATCCAACACCAAGAGACGCGCTAATAATGCGTACATATCGTATACTTCATATACCTATACGCGTGTGGAACTATTGCATTTATTTTTATTTGTCCTTTCCCAGTGGAGCCACGAGTAAATTAAAGGAAAAAAAAAAAAAAAAGATTTTCAGCTCAAAAAAGATTGCGTCAAGTTCATACAAATACTTACAAGCAAAAGCCCTGGAATTTCGTATGTCCGAGTCAAGAGTGTGTTCTCTGCAACAACTACTTAAACGTTGCAATTTCACTTGAAATGGGTATTTCGGGTGACGAAAATGTGTGTGTGTGTGTGTGTGTGTGTGTGTGTGTGTGTGTGTGTGTGTGTGTGTAGAGAGAGAGAGAGAGACAGAGTGGCCTCGGTGGAAAATCTATGGCTAGCTGAACTTTTAATTTCGCGACTCCACATACTCTTAAATTTGTATGGGAATTCATACAATCTCTACGTGTTGTGTGAATATCACGTTGTCGCGCACACACGTACACGTGGCGTATAAATGCGCGCGTGTGTGTGTAGTTAAAGAAAGAGAGCTGCGAGAGTCAAAGGCGAGCTTAAAAGAAAACGAGGCGAGCTCCCCAGAGAGAAGCAAAAGTCTCTCTCTTTATATATAGCTTTTCGGCGGGGGGGGGGGGGCTGGAAGCACGTAGACTTCTTTGCCGTCACTATTGCCGCCACCCTCAACTGTGGAACGCGAACGCGTGTCCAAAGGATTTGCGAAATCAAAGCTCCCTCAAACGACCTCGAAAATTGCCAATCAAAGTTCTGGTGAAAAGGACCGTCTCTCTGCTGCTGCGTTCAGTGCACCGGGACTGCAAATAATTTTCTCGTTATTTCAACTCATATACGGATCATCATTTTCGGCAAAAAAGTAAATACACCTCTTTACATTACCATACATCCAGTACAAATAATAATAATAATCCTCGATTAAAAAACACCCCCATTAAGGAAAAGTTCCATTCTTCTTATTTTTTTTGTATTCGATTATTATTATTATTAAAAATTTAATACGTCCAATAGGTATTATTGTTATATAGAGTCACGATGCATTACAGGTACTCCGAAATTGAAAATACTTATGCATCAGTTCTCTTGTTTATAAGACTTGACCCACTGAAAAAAAGTGCTAGTTGTATACTTGAGCTCCGCATTCTATGACTCCATGCCTATGGTCCTGATGATGAGTTTACGTATATTATACTTACATTATTGGCACGTACTGGCTCTAAAATAAGATGTACTTGCCTGACGACGCGTAACGCGGAGCCCTTCCAGCGGCGATTCAAAAACTCGTGCGCAACTATAAAGAGAATGAAAAAAAAAAAAAAACTAAAATAAATAAATAAACAAGCTGCACTTGGTCTTCATGTTATACGTTACGTATACAAAACAAATCGTATGAAAAGGTTTAAGTGACTCTTGGCGAATAATAATAATAATCGAGATGATAATGATAATAATAATATGATGATGATGGAAACAATATAATATACCTAAAGTATAAGGTGGGATATGTATATATATACTTAGGGCTTGCTGCTTATAGCTAGTCGTTTCGTTTGCGTAGAGCGCCAGACGTCGACCTGCCTGCAAAAGGGATGAAAGAGAGTGGATGATAAATTAAAAGGTTCCATGATCATCATGTTCTACAACGAGCGTCAGACTGTGTGAAAGAGCAGAGCCCCATGAATGGGGGGAGGAGGGTGTCTTGTCGTCCTCGAGGTCATCGCCGCCACCACCACCCTAGCAATTTCCTTCGCTCCCCCCTCCCTTCCCCCCCGATGAAGCTTTTTCATGCTCGCGAGATATCCGTCTTTTTTAATCTTGTCTCCCCCGTTGCACCGGGAACACCGCGGGATGAGCATAGCGAACAGAGCCATCCAAGCACACCAGGGATGAATGTCTCAGGTACGCGAGCTGCTTGCCCAAAAAAAAGAGATGAAGGTGTGCTCGCGCGTTCGCGGAATATCTACACAAGAGGCAGCAGCTCCTATCTTGCAGGCTTATCGCCCCCGGATGCTGCGCGTACTCGTGTGTATACACATGCATACGTGAATCGCTCTAAAAACGGCATGTCGGTCGGTCCGGTCTCCTCGTGCGGTAGATAGGGAATGTATATAGCTACTTTCACCGTCCCGCCAATAC